GCCACATGGCTCCCCATGCACCAGGGGCCCTCCCTCCGGGGGCCTACAAGGCAGGAAGTGAGCCAGCCAGAAGACAGGTGCTCCCCGCCCGTGGCTCCCCGTGCGCCGGAGACCTTTCTGTACCTCTTCCACAGTCTTAATACATCTCTTCAGGCAGTCTCCTAAGTCTTCCCCTTAATGACACATGCATGTTCATGTTTAATTGTTCTGTCAGGCCACTTTTTCACTGTGTAAATACAGTTACAACAGGTAGAATAAAACTTACTGAAGAGAACATCATTTGGAAAGGGCTTTTTTCATTTTATTAAGATTAAATTTACTACAAGTTGAGCATACCTAACTTGGAAATCTGCTGTGCTCTGAAATACAGTGAAACTTTGAGAGTACAGTGCTCAGATCTGCCAGTGTCAGATTTCAGAGCATTTTAGATTTTTAGATAAGGTATGCTCTGCTAATAAAGTCTGTGCATATATTCTAAAATTCAAAAAAATCAAAATTTCAAACACTTCTGGTCCCAGGCATTTTGGATGAGGGATACTCGATCTTTATTTTTATTCTCCATTACATATTTTTCTTGGAAAGTCTGTGTAAATAAATTATTGTAGCTGGAAACTACTTCAGTTCTACTATACATAGCATGAAGTATAAGGAAAAAGGCAACATGATAGCCTTACTCAAGTTGTTCAGTAGAAGGATGCTTTGTCTCCTTCTGATTGATAATTACTCTTTCCCTTACCATGGGCATACAGCTCTCTTGCAAACTGTGGGCTGCTTTTATTGTTTCTCAGCTGGTCTTCCTGCATCTCTTTAGGCTTCCTTTAACTCTGTGCTGCACCCTGGACATTTGAGAGCACATGTCCTTCATCTCGTCTCTTCTGCTCTGTTTGCTTTGATGGCATCTGTAGCATAAAGGCCTACAATTTGCACTGCACTTTGCAGGCCTTTCAGAGTTCTTTCGACTCTACATGACAGCCCCTACTCCTAGTGCTTGGCATTCTGGGTCTGCCATGTCGTTTTTTGTGTACATCCTGTCTCAAGGAAGCATTCGTATTCTCTCTCTTGCTCTCTCACTCTCTCTCTCTCCCTCTTTCTGTTTTTTTCTCTACTGTATTTGACCTGTCCACAGTGACAAAGCAGTTTTATTTTACATATATTTGACTTAGTACCATGCATCTTAGTCTATAATGCTACATGATAAAAATAAAAGTATTTGTCCAATATGTACATTGAGTATTTGGCATGCACTTTGACAGTTTAAAGCCACATAAATTGGAAGTTTTAGATCTAGCTTACAAATCTATTTTTGCATTTAGTTTTATTACCTTACATGTAATAGTTGTAGACTTAGTGCTTTTTTTGTTTCTTGAGACAGTGTCTCACTGTATAGTTCAGGCTGCCCCTGAACTCATTATGTAGCCCAGGCTGGCTTTGAACTAGGGGCAGTCTTCTCGCCTCAGCCTCTTGAGTGCTGGGATTGCAGGCGTGCGCCACCACGCCCAGTGATTTAGTGCTTCTTAATTAGTTTTAATGATTACCATCAAATCTTTGATATAGTTGCCTCTCTACTGTTACTTTTAATTTATGTTCTTTGTTGGCTGCAATAAGTCAGGGAAGCTTTCTCTGTTCTGTAGGCCTGTCATGCTGTTACCCTGTAGTGTGTATCTTAGTTCAGAATAGTGTGATTGTCCTGGTAAATTCCTGTCTCCCCTAATGTCAGCTCTGTGAGTCAAAATGCTGTTTTTCTTTAACTTTGTGTCCTTCTTGCTTAGCATATACTTGGCAGTTGTTGAACATTCAGAGAAAATTTGTTGAGTGAACAGTTTGATTTGTTTTATAGAGATGAGTTGTTTGTTAGTAGGAGTTGATAGTGTCAGAAAATGAATTCAACTGGCTTAATGCCCTAGCAGTTTGGTTTTTACCCGTAACTAAAACTTAGTGACAGTGGAACTATTTTAACACTTTTTCCTTCATTTTGTTGGGGCTCTTTTAAGAATGAATTGACTTTGTAGTAATGTACCTGGTAGTCTGGGCTTCTGGGAAGCAAGCAGCCCAAATAGGTAAAGCCATTACACATGTTGATTGAAAATGAGCAGATGTGTGAATTTTTGAAAATAAGAAGCTTGGGACAAACTGTTCTCTAATTGATATTTATTTTAATTCCAGAACGTGGTCCAAGACAATTCCTGGGAAAGTTGAGTTCTTCTCTAGTGAGGGTTCAGATACATCTATACCAATTCCAATAGTGCCACTACGGGGCGTGGATGACTCCTACCCGCCCCAGAAGAAGTCTTTTATGATGCTCAAGTACATGCATGACCACTACTTGGACAAGTATGAATGGTTTATGAGAGCAGATGATGATGTTTACATCAAAGGAGATCGGCTGGAGAGTTTCCTGAGGAGTTTGAATAGCAGTGAGGCCCTCTTTCTTGGGCAAACAGGACTGGGCACTACAGAAGAAATGGGGAAACTGGCCCTTGAGCCCGGTGAGAACTTCTGCATGGGGGGGCCCGGTGTGATAATGAGCCGGGAGGTGCTTCGGAGAATGGTCCCACACATTGGCAAGTGTCTCCAGGAGATGTACACTACCCACGAGGATGTGGAGGTGGGAAGATGTGTCCGGAGGTTCGCGGGTGTGCAGTGTGTCTGGTCTTATGAGGTAAGAGCAAAGTTCTTTACTTGGGAAAAACTGTTAATTTTGTCGTTAATTCTCAGTCACAGGAAGCTAGTGGTAATATCTTCCTCCAGGGTTAAAGTTCGTGCAATTCTTAGACATATTTAGCCTTTGGTTTTTTTAAATGGGAATTTCCTTTATTACCTTACCTCTTGGTTTTAGAGCATGCCTTCCATGATTTTGTCTTATAAATAATGACAGTTGGGCTCACTGAAAACCTGTGGTTTGCTGACAGTGACATTTTCAAGATTATCCGGAAAAATCATCTTACGTGATTTCTGCTGACTTCACAGATGAAATTCTTTCTTTTTTCTTGTCTAATTTTATTTTATTTTTAAAAATTTTTATTAGTACACATATTCCATGCATAGTGCTCGCATTCATCTTAGGGAATTTGTACCAATATATGTCTTAATTCTTCCTTTTTCCCATTCTCCTCCCCTCCAACCTTTTTCCCAGCCCCATTTATATAATCTTTGTTTCCCTTCTGCTCTTTGCTTTTTTGGTCCCTTTTCCCTTCCTTGCTTTCCGCCTTCCCCCTTCCTTGTTTCCCCATGCATTTGAACATGTTCTTCCTACTTCCCAGTATCTGTCATCTGTTTTGCTCCTTGTTTGCCCTTAAGGTTTCTCACACAGGAGAAATAATGTGATATTTAAACTTGTATGTCTTATTTATGTCACTTAAAATTGTAGGTGTACCCATTTACTTACAAATGATTCAAATTTATCCTTCTTTATGGCAGAGTAGTACTTTATTGTATATGAACACCACATTTTCTTTATCTGTTCATCTGTTGATGTGTGGCATGTGGGGTGTTTCCAAGATTTAGCTATCATAAATTGTGCTGTTGTAAACATGGGTGGGCATATGTCACTGTGGTATGATGCTTTTAACTCTTTTGGGAAGATACCTAGAAGGGGAATACCTGCATCAAATGGAACCTGTAGTTTTAGTTTTTTGAAGAATCTCCATACTGACTTCCTTTGTGGTTGTACCAGTTTACACTCTCACCAACAAGGGAGAAAGGTTCCTTTTTTACTCACAGCCCTACCAGCATTTGTTATTGGTCGATTTTTTTGATTGCTAGTCTTTCTGGAGTGAGATGGAATCTCGGTGTTAATTTACATTTCTTGAATGACCAGTGATGTGAACATTTTTTTCATGTATTTATTTGCTGTTTGTACTTCTCCATCTGAGAAATACTTACTCATTTCAGATACCTGTTTGGATTAGGATTTTAAATTTGAAAGGTCTGACTTTTTTGAGTTTTGTATATATTCTAGATGTTAGTCCTTTGTCTGAGGAGTAGCTGGTAAATTTTTCCCATTCTGTGGATTGTCTCTTTACTATTGGTGGTTTCTTTTGCAGTGCAGAAGCTTTTTAATTTGATGTGATCCCATTTGTTGATTCTGTATAGTATTTCCTATATGATTGAGCTTTTTTGCTCATAAAATTTTTGCCTACACCTGTTTCTTCTAGAATTTTACCTATTCTGTCTTCCAGCAGATTGTTTCTGTTTTTATATTTAGGTCTTGATCCATTTTTATTTTAGTTTAGTGCATAGTGAGAGATATGGGTCCAGGTTCAATTTTCTGCATGCAGAGAACGAGTTTTCACAGCACTGTATCTTTCTTCACATGAAGATATTTGGCCCCTTTGTCAAAGATAAACTCACTGAGTTTGCTTGGAATTGTTTCTGCATCTTGTATTCTGTTCCATTGATCATCAGATCTGTTTTTTTGCCAGTACCATACTGTTTTTATCATGTATCCACAGATGTAATTCCAAAGGTGTGGGATATTTTCCTATCCCTGGTTCCCAAAGGCCTAACCACTTTCATCTGATCATGATGACCTACACAGATTAGAAATTTACATGTTATGAATTTATAAAATAATTAGTGACGTGAGAATGGCTTTGCATTTATTTTGAATCTTGTGGACTGGGGGTGTCGCTCAGTGGCAGAACGAAAAATAAGTAAATAAATAATTATTACAAACTTTGACCTTCTGGATAGTTATATAATCTGTAATTCGTACAATGGTTTCTTTCAGTCTAGGTGGTAAGCAATTTCTGAGTTCACTTGACATACATGAAACCTTTTAAAGGAAGTCTACTTGTAGACGTTTTGTCTTTAATAGTTCCAGAGGATATGAATTAGCTTTAGACTTTTGTCTGCTTTTATGCGGGCAGGCCTATATCTCTTGTCTCCAGTTTCAGGATCCAGTGACAGAGGGAAGAAAACTCTTTAGGTTATGTTTAGATTGGTAAACTACCGGAGTTGCAAAGAACAGAGTGAATTACTAGGCCTTTTGCCCAAGAGAAAGAATGAACGTTCTGCTTTAAACTGCTGTTTTACTGAGTTACTTTTTCAAAGTATTTGAGTGAGGAAACAGTATTCTTGCCTGTACTTGCCTTTCCACCAGGCTTTTAAATGTCTTCTGATCATTCTATTCCTTTTGTTTGAACTTTCAGAGATGTGGAGATTTTCAGGTATATTAGGAGTGGCCTTCATGTGATTTTAATTATAAATTCATGAAGATGGACTTTAAATCCTAAATGTGATCTGTGTGAAACATTTAATTTCTGTGCACTTTGCAGTGTGTGATTGCTCACTGGACCTAGGGGATCTCTTTTGTCATGGAGTTTTGCAGCAAGGAAAGCCATTTCAGGATTTCATGCCGTATTAAGCAGAATACATTTACCCCATACATTTCCACATTTTCCCCATCCTTAATTAAGTAGTTACAACCCTAACAAATTTCACTGTGGCCAAAATATGTAATGGTTTGTGCATTTTGGAACACTTTGTCCTGCCCTCTATCTCTGAAAAGTGAACTTTCTTACTGGAATTGTAGAGGAGAGGCCTACTTTTGAGTAAGAATTTTAAAAAACAAGTGCCTTAGTATGGTTATATTAATATCTTTGATACTACTCTAGAGGCACCAAGAAAGCCGGTATCACCAGTTAGATCAAGACCTTTGGTCTGGTGTCAGTGACATTATGTAGTTGGAAAGTTGTCCTGGTGCTGTGGGAGTTGGGAGACTGTTTGAGGGCTGCTTTTCCCATTAAGCTGCAATCTGACAATGGTTTCTAATACCCTAGGTATTAGAAATTAGCTTGATGCTCTTTGTAAATGCCTTATTAGCTAAGGGGACCTGGTTGATGAGGAAGCCCTTCAAGTGTTTCCCTGCCTCCTCCCTTGGGAGCTGGGTTGGAAACAGCAGCAGCCTGGAGGATCTTCTAGAAGTGTGTACAGCCTGTCAGGGCTTCCCTGCTGCTTTGCAGTTCTTTAAATGCCTTATGATGACACAGCTTTTACTAGATCCTGCTGGCTTGCTCTCTCCTGGTCTTGTGCCAGATGGTCCTCCCACTAGCAATCTGCTTTTTTTTCTTTTTTTCTCTTCTCTTCCCTTCCATGAATTGCCTCTTCGTAGTCTTGGCCCATTTCTTCTGTTGGAATGTTGGCTGTCTCAGGGTTTTATTGGAATGCTTTTTCTTGGACACAGAGTTTCTTCTCCCAGACTATGGCTTGTCTTTTTACCTTCATTGTGGACTTTTTATTATGCACAAGTTGTGAGTTTAAGTCTAACTTACCATTCTTTTCCTTGATGGTTTGCACTTTTTAGTATCTTAAGACATTTTTCCCTTCTTTGAGTCACAAAGATTTCTCCTACATTTCTCTATGTTTAAAATCTTTCCTTTATGTGTAGTTCTTCATGCTCATTTTAAAAAATTACATACATTTTATTCAAACTTTGACCCCTGCCTCCCCTTTTTGGTAAACCTTTAAGAGCTTCTAACCTATTAGGATTTGGCATGTGTTCACCTCTCAGATGTGATTAATCATGTGGATGAGGAACTTCCTGTAAACCTAGTTTCTCCATGAAGACTCACCTTGTAAGGGTTAATTGAAGCACTCTTTGGTAAAGACAATTATGTTAAGCTTTGGATCTTGGAAGGTACTTATTTTGCTTTATTGTAAACCTAGCCAGAGGTGCGGTTTTTTTCCTTTGCAAATAGAAATAATGCCTTGTATAATGTCCATATAATTAAATGATGCATGAGGAGCAGCCATCAAACTCAAAACCCAGATTCATTTCTGAGCGTGTTTGATTATTGCTGTTGATTATTTATTAATAAATGGCTTTAAAAACTATTTGGGAATAATTTTAAGCTCACAAAATTTGTAGAAGAGTGATAGTGTGGGCCTGGCAGCTGTTAAATATAGAGTACTAGGAAAGAACAGGAGCCCGTCAGCCTGGTTCTCCCTTGTCGTGGTGGTAGGGCAAGACTGGCATTGTTAACTCAAGTTATTTGAGATTTTCTTGAGAAACATTGAAAAATTTGAAAAGATACTTTGTTTTAGTTAGGTAAATATATAAAATACACTTCTTGTAATAAGAGTGAAAATTGGCCTAAATAACCTATTCATTCTATTTTTAAATTGATATATATATATATGTATCTATGGAAAAGTGCATAGATTGTAAGTGCAGGTCTCAGTGGATTTTCACAAACTGAACACAGTTGGGTAATAGCACTCAGGTCTTTGTTATTTTAATACTGCCTTTGTCTAGTAACAAAGGCATCTTTGGTAGAAAATAATCATTGCTTAATGAAATTTGGAGACTGGCAGACATGGATTTAACAAGTTTTTAAAAATTATTGTCTTTAATAGTTAATGCTGTGGTAGGATTTAAAATTCTAAAGTGCCAAGGGTATATAGGCATAAATCCCTGCACCTCTCTGTAGCTCCTGGACTCCCCCAGGAGTCAGGCACCGTGGTGCGTTCTTTCTTCCAGAGTGGCCACAGGGTATATCATGTCATACACACGCCTTAAAGTTTGTGTATCTTCCCTCTTTTGTAGAATGGTAATATGTTACACATAGTCTGCATCTTACTGCTTTTCACTTAAGATGTTTTGGGAGATTTTCCATTTGGTACATAAAAAGCTTTATCTTTTATATAGACATTAGGCTA